GAAATTTAATAAATGTAATATAGTATATTTTAATTTTTAACGAATTTTTCTCAAAACTAATGTATTTTGAATTTTACAAAATTATTGCAAATTGCTTATGTATACAAATTTAAAAAATATTATACATTATTTTATGATACTTGATACAAAAATTCGTTTGAAAATGTTTGTATAAACAAAATTCCTATTCAGAATTTTAAATATAAAAAACAATATAATGTAGAAATTTATATAATATATAATATACTTTATTCCTTAATGTCGAAATATTTTTAAATAAAATTTCGATATATAACGACAAGATGGAAAATGACATTATAAATTATACAGAATACTTACTCTCAGTAATAAGTAGAATACATTGTGTGATAATTCATCGACTTCCATAATTAAAGTTACATATCAATTAAAAATTTTATAACCACATGAACACATACGTAAATCCAATTGATTTAGTATATACATATATATATATATGTACATATTTGTAAATATATATTATAATGAAAGTAAATTATTGAAATTTCTGATGTCTGAAAGATTAAATATTTTTACTTTATTAATAATAATCAGGAAAAATGATAATGCTAGCCGTAAGAACAGGGAAAAAGAATTTGATAACAATAACCTTGGACTTAAGTATCGTCAGTTACCACATCTGCATTCCTTAAAGATCTCGTGATTTTACTCTACGATAAACAATAATTCAAATACCGATTTTATTTATAAGCACGATACATTGCAGACCAGCAACTAATTGATTAAAATCGACATAAATAAACTTCGAAAAATTCATGTCCAATTATATATACATTTATATGCTTATTATTTTGGCGATTGTCAGTACGTAATATAAAGTTTTAAATTAAATTTGTAGTTTGAAATTAAATGAAGCGATTGGAGCACGTGGGTATAAAAACACATGTAAAAGAATAGGCGCTTGCGTACTACAAGATACTATTAAAGTTCAGCTATAGAACATTGAATGTATAGATAACATTGTAAAATGTAAAATGTATGTGATAACAGTGCAGCTGCAGAGTGAAGAATGAGGCATTAGGAACGAAGTGGGGGCGTTAGTTTTTAAAATATGGCTGTCAACTTTTGTTTACTGTTCATCAGCTGAGTTTGCGAATGAACTTGTCAAACATTCTACATACAGTCCAGTAATTTATGAAGTAAATATGCTTTCCTTATTAAGATGTGTAATTTGATTGCGATAGTAGAGCTGAATTATCTTTAAGGGATGAAAAGTCTATTTAAGTAGAGCTAACCTTTCAGTTATTTTCTGTTATTTTCAATGAATTTTGCTTTTATGATAGAATCGTCATCGTTTTAAAATGTTTTTCTTCTTTATTACAGTATAAAAAAAGTCTGTAGAATAAATGTAAATTTGCTCAAATGCTGTGGAGGCAAAAATAAATGCGTTCTGCACTAAGTGTTATACTGTCGAGTCCAGTGCCCGACAATAAAATGTCTCATCCAGATTATGAGCAGACGGCTCATGATCATGCAACTATTTTAATATTATTGAAACCACTTGGTGCACAGATCAAGCAAAAAACTGTGACTCGTATTTGCGAGAGAATTATTAAATGTGGCAGTAGATTTTCAGTTATCGATTCTTCTAATAATACTCGTGAAATACTTACTAGGTTTATAAAAGATCATCCTGTTGAAAACAATGATTGGGGAGATTTTCAAACTCATAGGCGATTATTAGGTTTGTACATTAGTTTTTATATCTATATTAACAAACAATTTTCAATGCCTGTCAGTACTATAATTCTAAATAAATGATAATAATATTTGCATATAAGCATTATAAAATGCATTCTAATTGAATTAATAAATACATAAAGTAAGATTTTCTAATTGTTCTGAATTTATTACGTTGTAATTGTGATAATTGTATTTTTAGGTCTTATCACATTTGGGAAATATGAGAATCAAATAGAATTAAATGAACTTTGTAGGCTTCACGAGACTCTTAAAGTAAAATATGTACAAACGCTATATGATTCGAGAGCAATATTATTTGGCCCAATTCCATCGGAGAATTTAAATGAACCACCACCATCCTTCACTACACCTCATAATTTTAAAACAGTGGGTATATTTTATGCCGATGATCTATGTCCAAATTTGGAAATACAAATGTCACAGTGCTTTAATTCGCTGTTTTGGATTTTGGAGTCAAAAAGATTGGAACGGTCTAGAGAAAAAATTGATAAAGTCGCCTTACTACAGGCACCGTTTGAAAAGAAAGATTTTATTGGCTTAGATTTAGAATCGAGAAATAATCGGGAGAGGTGCGTTGGTCGCGCAACAAAACACTTAGGTGATTTATGCCTTCAAGCTGGTTTACCAGGAGACGCTTTGAACAATTATAATTCAGCCATAGGTACTTTACAATCAGTTAATGATTGGTTATGGCTTGGATCGGCGTACGAAGGACTTTGCGCCGTGTCTGCACTAATTTTATATCCAAATATGTGCAGAAACGTTCCTTTACAAAGAAATTCATCGTTACAAGAAGGCAGTCCTGGAAAACAAAGGTAAAATATTAATTTTATTATTAAAATTCTTTTTTGATATAGTTATGATCTATCGATTGTACAATACAAACCCAGGACATTAAGAATTTTTTTTTTTTTTTTTTTTATAATAAATTACAAATAATATTCATTATGAATATTAATAATATCAATAATATAGCGTAATAATGATTCTGAATAATATAAATGTCGATGCGAAAAAATAATTTGACTTTTATTTGTTTGAGGCGAGGATCACAACCGACCACAACACTTTGCGCACCACCTACAATAGAAACTATCAAGATGAACATGCCAAATATTTTGCTCCCCGAAGATATATGTAAAAAATATCGTGAAGCAATTGTGCATTATACTAAATATCAAAATGCTGGGATTATCGAGACAGAAGCTAGTTTCAAAGCCACTAGAATTTCAATCGAACAAAATTGTACTCTGCAAGCAGCGTCTTTCCTCAGTAATGTTTTATTCAATAACATGACAATGAACGAGCAGGAAAAAGTTAGCCACTACATTGAATTTCATATATTATAGTATTTTTCATAATGCCCATGGTGTCTGGTGACGAATGGCTAATATTCTTTCCTTACAGATAGATCGTTTTACAACATTATCCGACTTGTACACCTCATTTGGATATTTGAGGAAAGCTTCATTTTGTTTAAGGCATGCTGCACTACGGCATGTTTCACAATATAATCCAAATCTTGATTGGCAGCAGTGTTACAATTTGTTGCTGCAAGCTACATCAGGATTCAAATTATCACTCGATCCAGTAGAAATGTCTTTTGGTATTACAATTGTATTATCGAATTATTATTGTATGAAATTGTTTCTATGTCGGTTTGTATATGAAAACATTCGAGCTTATTACGTGAAATTCTCACAATGTTTAAAGTAGGGAACACAAAAAGGGTTACTAAATTTTTTTGAAATATTCACTCATTAATTGTCCTTTGAAATTATCAGCCATTACCCAAAAACTTAATTATTAAATTAATTTTTGTACGTATGTATCCAGAAGGATTTCATAGATACTTAGCCTCGATGAAATAGACTTTTAAGCTTTGATATGTTACAATTACATATGCATATGTGTCTATGTGTACTAAGAGAAGCGAACTTTTTCGATATAATCTTATTATTAAATATAGATAATAGAAAAGGTTGGCCATCCATTCAAATTCAATTGATAAATGAACTAGTTGCTGCAGCAAATCGTATGGGTCATCCTGCATTGGCCACTAGGCATCTAACATTTCTTTTACAAACAATGTACAATTACCTTACACCTACCGAAAGGAAAGACGCGGCTCTTCAGTTACAAGCCGTTTCTCAACAATCCGAAGGCTCACCGGTTCCTCTCGTAAGTTTTGCCAAAACGCGTAATAAAAATAATATAAAGTCAAACGTTTTTAAAATTAACCGCCATTAAGAAATGATATTAATCGTTAATTTTAACTTAATAGACAATGCGTGACGAATGCGCGAAAGTCTTATGAAATTTAAGCTTTTTATTCTAAAATTCTGTACTGCGTGCCCGTGTAATTTTTGTATTTAAACGAGGATTAATAAGAAATTGGAAAAATTTTAAGCCAAATAATTATCATTTTATATTGTATAATTTCATTTGCTTTTGCGGCGATTGCTTTTACACATTTAATTCTTCTACACATTAGCATTAGGACCTAACGACATGAATACTTATTAGGTATTAGATTCGGGAAGAGTTATACCCCCGGCAAATCTAACGAACATTCCACGCACAAAATCATTCGCTTTGAAGAATCTGCAGCCGCACTTGCAACCCCAGAAAATTGAGCGCGTTAAAGAGGATCATGGCCCGTTTCTCTTTACACCTATAAATTTCGGCTCACTCGAGCGCAAAACAACCGCGAAGGGCAAAGTCGATTATCTGTGGGTGGATGGCGACATATGCGAGGTATCCATGCAACTCGTCAACCCCTTGCCATTCGAGCTCCACGTGTCGAATATGCGACTGCTGACAAGCGGTGTGGTATTCGAGCCAATACCCGAGAGTATTACACTACCGGCCGAGTCAGGTACGATCGCGGTAACGCTCGCTGGTACTCCAAGAGAAGTTGGCGAACTCGAAATACTCGGCTTCAGTACGCATACCCTTGGGGTTAAATCGAATTGCCGGCTGAGACATATCGAGAGCATGCCCCATCCACTCTACACGGTTGAGATTGTGCCGGCTTTGCCAAGAATCAACGTCGAGACGAGTCTACCTAGGACGGCAAGCTTTAGCTCTGGAGAAAATATCGTTACCAGCGCAAGCATATCTCTTTACGGTGGTGAGAGGTAAGTTGTATTTTTTATTTCCGTTACCTCCAAAACGCCATTTATAATATGGAAACACTGTTTAAAATTAATTAATATATTGTAATGAAATTTTTTATTTATACGTCATTAATTAAACATTCGTTAATGTACCATTGGTAATAAAGGGTCGTTGTAGTTTTAAAATTTAAACGTAATAACAATGAAATTTCTTTGCTAATTCGTTACAAACGTACACGCGCGCCCATTATGTATGCATACTGTTTGGAATGAATGCCACTCAATATTATATTATATTTCAAATTTAATTGATTTTAAATGCAAGTACCAAAGTCTGCCATTACAAGGTACGATTTGTTTTAAAGATTATTTCTTTTGTTTTAAAATTTTTTTTTTTTTTTTTTTTTTTTTTTTCAATATAAAAAACAACATTCAAAACTGTCGATTAGGCATTTTGTATTATCACCTTTTATTGACAATTGATAATACATGATTAATAGTCTGTCAAATTCTATCGGAATGAGAAGTTTGAAGTGTGATAGAATATTTATTGTACTTTTCAATGCAAATTTGTTCGTATTATCCAATTGGAATAGTTGTTGCATTTTAGTTTCAGAATATTTTTTCAAAATTTTCAACAAAAAAAGTAGTTTCGATAATTACGAAGTAGCGCGAGAAAATTAACAAATTAGAATTCATTTATCATGATGATGATGATGATGATGATGATGATGATGATGATGATGATGATGATAATAATAATAATAATAATAATAATAATAATAATAATAATAATAATAATAATAATAGTAATAATAATAATAATAATAATAATAACATGTATATATTTTGTAAAATAAATGATGTTGATTTCATGAAATTAAGTAATAATATGATCAAATTTTTCGATGCAAAGGTGAGGTTTAATTGCCCTTTGGTCTCTTCTTCTTTATCTTTCTTACTTCTGAAACCGATGTGAGAATTGCACTTTTTTATTATTCTATCGTCACCTGCTGAAGCAACTCCTCGTGTCAACAATTTTATTCTCGCTGTCGATTCTGCGTGTTCAGCTCTCCCCTTTGACGGTTGCTTAATCACGTGCGTGCACACTCCTTTACATTTTCAACTTTGTACGTTTGCCTCGTCTGATTATTCACAATTGTTACAATATATTTGTTCTGTTGTTGTTGTTGTTATTGTTGTTGTTGTTGTTGGTATTATTATAAGTCGAGTTGCAAAATTATACCAGAGATAGTTAGCTCCATGTAATTTCGAGAAATAATAAATACGATAAAAAAAAAATTATTAAACAAGAAATAACGTTTAACGTTTGGAAATTAGAATTTTACTAAATGAGGCAAAATTGCATTATGGTTCCCATTTTTATTAATTATTTATCCCTTTATCATAGATATATTATAGATGTATGATATTTAAATTGAGTTTTTTTTTTTTTTTTTTTTTTTTTTTTTTTATAATAATTCATCTGAAAAGATACAGCAGGCAAATAAAGTAACTTTTAAATGTCATTAGAATGAAACGAGGAAAGTGGGATTGCATACTCATTGCACAAGATAATTTTCAATAATAAATAAAATATTCTATTTCAGCTAGATGTTGTAAAATATATCTACATACATTTGTATTTTAATTAATATAAGGCAATAAATAAAAAATTTTGATAAGTTTTCGAGTTTTGTTTTTCCGTTTAACCTGAGTTTATTAATTTTATTGGTAATAACTTTATTGTGCAAAATTTTTAAAGATTTTAAAATTTTCAAAATTAACATTTACACGGTAATTTGTTTAACGGATACAATTAATGTAAGAACAAAATTAAGTTAATGGTCTTAAAATTAGATTTTTTTTTTTTTTTCAAGAAAACAGTCCTTTTCAACATTAAAAAAATTAATTTCATTTAAAAGTATCATTTATTATCGTACCCGAGCATTCGACCAACTTATCAGAGATTCGACTAATAAATGTAAAAAAGCAGTTTGTAATAAATAATGTTGCTATAAGTCTGAATATAATGAAAATATATGTAAACTGAGCGAGGTCTGTAATTTATCAAGCGGATCATTTATTCACATGGATTTATTAATATATTAACATAAATTGGAAAATATGTACTATTTTATAGCAAACATTTATATTCCCAGTAGCAACATAGGTTTATGATGAATATTACAATTATTTATTTAATTGAATAAATAACTTTAAAGTATATATTCTTATATAATTAGAGAAGATTTTGAGAGAAAATAATTGCAATAATTAATTTATTACTCATAGACCTATAACTTTTCGTGCTTTATAGTTTTAATTTAGCTCGACAATATCTCACATTATTTATTATAAGCGCTTTAATAGCTCGTAATTCCATAAAATATTTTTAAGGCATTAACGAAGTAGAATAGAAATCGTCAGATCTTACAGAATAATAAATTAGATGGATAGAATTTTAAAGTAATGTTTATGCTAAAAATATATTTTACTTTTCAATTATATTAATTTTCAATAATTCGCGCTTTAAAACAATACTGCTATACAAGTCTTAAAAATATTTCGTTACATTAACTTATCAATATCTTTTTAATTTCGTAATTGTATATATTTTTATAATTTAATCATAGTTTTGGCATTAATTGAATAATTAAACTCTATTATTTGTATACACAAATACATCAAACCAAATGATTATTAATTATTAATAATTAATGGTTGAAAACATGATTTTAATTACACTTTTAATTGGTGGCGGGTGGTGGGCACTAATAAAGAATAATCGATCGATAATTGACAAATGTATTGTCTGAGCAATTTATTAAAATTGTTATAGCGCTGAATGTACAATAACAATAACAAATATAAGTCAAGTGCCAATTGAAATGATAGAAATTTCGGTGCAATCAACTTTGGATAGTTTGACCGAGTCCAAAGTATTCAAATGGAGCAATGAAAATCTTCTGACTCAGTTACCTTTGCAACCACAATCAAGCGCTTGTATTACTTTATATATGTATGCAGCAATGGAATTCGTAGCATCGCAACGACATGGTATTTGCCTTTTTCAATATGAAATGGAAATGGAAAAATAAAACAAAATAATCATATTGACAAGAGAATGAATCTTACGAAATGTATTATTATTATTATTTACAGACATCACTAATGCCTATCAAAGTCAATCGAATAGTTTAATATCTCACTCGGGTCCAAGCTCCTTACCGTCACGACTAAGTACCTCATCTCATCACACCAAAAGATATTCTGAATTGACGTCATCGTTTCGTTCAGGTACGAGTTCGAACTCGTCGAATTCATTAAGCAGTACACGATTATCCAAATTGGCTGTGCCGATACACGCTTCGAACATTGTTGAAGGACAACTAAAAATTAAGTTCTCTGGTAGTGCCGGCCTAGCCTCTGGGTATTGTAGGATTTCATCTGTATTTATCACCATAGAAATGTTGCGCAGTGTACAATTTACAAATTGGGATGTATTGCCAGCAGAGACGTATGTTTATGACAAAAAAAAAATATTGCAATTATATTTATTTAATTGAATAAATAATCGATTTTAAAATTAATGATATATTATGTTTTAGGCCAACGCAATTTTACCTTGTATTAGATGTCATAAATATGACTAATCATGAAATGGAACTACATTACACACAAAATAAATGCATTTACATGGAAGGCCGGGAATCTTGTAGAATACCCATTCCAGTTGATCGGTGTCCATTTAATAAATTATCCACTGTAAACGATAATTATATATAAACTTTTCATAAAATTAAATATATTTGTGTGTGCGTGTGCGAGCGCGCGCGCGCAATATATTTTATAAAAATAAAAAACAAAATAAAATCTTCTTATTTTAGATAGATGGTGCGGGAAATAACGAAGATTTACAAAAAATTTGCTCAGAACATATAGCATCTTTAGCTGATTTAAAATGGCAATTAGTGGGAACGGAAACAACGGGTAAAGCAACTTTATCTGGATTAGCTTTAACACAGGACATGCTGGATCTTGTGAGAATGAGTCCGTTACAATGGGGTACGTTATCTTACATGCTTTCTCAAAATACTAAATGATAATATTCAATTGTCGTATTTCCTAATAAATAATAGTTTAATAAATTCATCAACGAAAAACAAAACAAAACAAAAATGAAAACCTTTTTTAGAAGTTACAATAAACGATGTCGTTTTCAAAGCACAAGATGAAATAACGTGTAACTTAGGGGAATGCATCAATGTTGGAGTGGGTGTATCAAATGCTTTAGAAAGCCCTCTTCGTAATTTAATTTTGTCGATCAATCTTTATCAAGATCATCACAACGGTGTTAATAATTATAGACTCGATACTAGAGTTTCAATAGCTGGTGCAAATAAAGTTATCCTTCCTACTGTAAGTTTGAAAAAAAAAAATTTTTTTTTTATAATTTAGAGACTAAAATATAGCAGAAGTCATTTTTCATTAATTAGTACTGATGTATTAAAAAATTCATTTTTAAAATCATTAGTAATTAATAACATTTTTTATAACCGTTTAGTTTTTATCTGTTTTATTTAATCAGTTGCAGGAATCTGGACGGGCGTATCATGAATGCCGTGTAGTTTTTCTCACTGCTGGCCAGTATAAAATTGATATTCAATGTAGTAGTCGAGAATCGATATTAGATTCATTGACATTTTGTTCAGAATTGGGAAATTCTGGACATACATGGCGCTACATACCACCTATTGAGATAAAAGTAGAAGATTGTTGAAGTTCAATCGATTGTTTATTCGTATTTGTATTTATTTATTGGTATTAAGAAATAAATTATTATATTTTCTTCAAATTTTATAATTTTTTTTTAATTAAAATTAGATATCTATAGTTACATAATTCGTTATAAACGTTAATTATTATTGCTTGACAATTAATTGTCTTGTACATAATATATGTCAAATATTTGCTCTTTTTTATAAAATCGCAATTAAAAATATAAAATATGAAATAATGAAATAAATGCTGGAATTTATGGCAATATTTTCAATACAAAAATTGCATGTCATTACAAAATTATTAAAACCTTTTAATTAATGCATAATAATAATAATTTATTTAAAAGTTAAGGTTTTTTTCATTCTTCATTATTCTTTTAAATTTTCTGTTTTTTTTTTTGTTTTTTTTTTTTTTTTTGTTTGTCTTTTTGTTGTTTTTGTTTTTAATTAATCAATTTAGATTAGTCAAGACGATCATTTGTTTATTCTTGAAAATAACTAGATCAATTTCTAATTAATTCGATAGCGACGAAATTTAATTATTTCCAAAGAATTTTCAACAACGCCATCCTCTTAATAATGCACATTAAAATATCACACGAAGTTCAACTTTTTCCCTAAAGGAATTATCTTCGTTAGCTCTATTTGTTTTTGAAATTTTTTATAAAAATTTAATACTTCTTTGTTCGCCCATACTTGTTGAGCACTAAAATCTAAAACCCTTAGCGTTTGTAAACTCTGAGCTCTCGATAGTGCTACGTATGCTTGTCCGGCATCGAATACTCTAGCGAGACTCATTTCAACACAATCTAATGTCAATCCTTGGCTTTTATGTATGGAAAAAGCCCAAGCGAGTTTCAATGGTATTTGTTTTCTATATACAATTGCTCCACCCGCAACTTTAATGCTCCATTTTTCCATTTTAACTTTGTAATTGCTACTTGTACGAAAATGTACGACTGGTATATCATCTTCGAATTGAACAACGACGCCTCTAGCTCCATTTACAAGTCCTTTATTTACATTAAGATTTTTCAATAACATAACTTGAGCTCCAACCTTTAATATAAGTTTATTTGGCACGGATAATTGTTGGTCTAAGATTTTCATCATAGATTCGTCTGAATTTTGTGCCATATAAACTTTAGAAATACCTGATAATTTATTCAATTGAGTTTCATTAATTTCATTAGCTTCATTTATATGAGAGCATAGTCGAGTTGCTAAAATACCACCTATTTCAATTTTTTGTTTAGAAGTACTCTTTAGCACTTCGCTAATTTCATCGGTTACTTGTCCTACTCTTACTTTATTCAGTATATTAATAAACTTTTGGTCTGTTTGACGATGAACAGTTCTAAGTTCAAAATTAATGTGAATACACTTATTCCACGCTTGGCTTTGAAAGCAGAATTTTACCTTTTCATCTCTCTTGGAAACAGGTGGTAGTTGAAAAAAATCTCCGCACAAAATTAATTGTATACCACCAAATGGTTTTTCACTGTTTCTTACGAATCTAGCAACGGCTTCAATTTTGTCAAAATAGTCTCCATCTACCATCGAAATTTCATCAATAATTAAATGTTTAATTTTTCTCCAATTTGTGCCAGCTACTGATTTTGAAACGATTTGTTTACATCTCTCCATCGTTCCCATTCCTAAGCCGATACCTGCAAATTGATGCAAAGTAATTCCTCCTATATGACACGCTGCCACTCCTGTACTCGCTGTAACCATTGTTACATCCGGTGGTAAGGCTGAAACAATTTTCTTAAGAAGAAACGACTTCCCCGTACCCGCACTACCCGTGAAAAATATATTTTTTCCGCTTAAGACACACTGTAATATTCTTGATTGCTCTTCAGTCGTTTCTTGCAAAGTAGGATTATTAAAAAGTTTTTTGGCTTTAGGAATTTTTGCACTTAACGATGCGGTATTTTCTGCATTAAGTTTTCTTTTTCGTACATTGGATGGCGAGGGTGTCGTGATAGTACTACGTGAAACGGCTTTTTCTTTAGCCCTTTTTATTTCGGCGATTGAAGCAGGACTAATGTCTTCCGCATAAGTACCTTGATTACCTAATAACTTTTCTTTTATAGAATTTATAAATGGCTTATCATCATCCTTTCCATGCATTTTAATAAAAATCATTTTTAAAAAATTAATGAGTTGGCCAGCGGGAGCATTGGATAAATAAAGAGTACATTTCTCTAGCTTAAATTTTATCGTAGCTTTCCCTTCTCCCATAAATCTATTAAACAATGAAATATCTTGCAAATGAAATTTAACATTACTATTTGATTTTTCTGTTCCAACTTCAATTAACAATTGCTGAAGACTATTTCTTATAATACGGCAAGTTGCTGTACGGTGATTGACTTTTCTCACAATTGAACCCTGTGAATTTGTCCATTCCATAACAACTCCGCATGTTAAATAACAACCGTCACCATTCATGATGTTTAACTCGATGAAAATAATTAATGGAGCAGAGAATCACTAAAATATTAAATTAAAAAAAAGTCAACTTCAAAGCGATTTTTAAACGAAGCAATTACTTGTCAATAACCCAACATTTTGAAACATAAATTAAATATAATTATCATCTGTGCCATACCATTTAATAATGTATTTGATCGCTCCTAAATATATTTTACAGCATTAAACTTTGACTTTTTAATGATCATTAATGATTGAACATTTGTATATGTATAGTGACATGATAGAGAAAACACGTTGGTTTGGCGGGTTTCAAAAAACATTACATTACAGTCATTATAAAGAAGAAATGTGCTGGTGCGACAAAATATTATGTTGGCTTTGACCGTATTGTGACGGGGAATAAATTTTTAAGTCAACGATAAAAAGGATTCGCTTTTTAATGCCATTTTTACATTTATTATTGGCTTGAGAGTTCGATGAAATATGGGACGATTACTATTAACTAACAGCACTTTGTATGAATAATTAAAAAGAAAAATTTTTATTCCTAATCGATGGTGAAATTATAAAGGAAAATATAAAAAATTAATTTAAAAAAAATAATTAGTTCATTGCTTATGATGTTTCTTTTCAATTTATGGAAATAGGAATAAATGTATGTAACGATTTATTAATTTTACCATGATATACTACATGTTTAAATAATAAAAGAGAATTTTATTTTATAAAAGTCGGCTGTTCATTAATATTTATTTTGTATTATTTATAATTTGGTTATAGGTCGTTCTTTAATGTAAGCTTTGATGTTTTTGTTATTTTGGATATTGCGAATAAGGTTTTTTAATTTGGGATGCTTCTCATTAAAATCGTATTCCAAAATATTTGAAATAATTTCACATATGCCAGCGTAATAAATGTCTGCCCACGAAATCTAAAATGACATTGATTAATCGCTATCTTTACATTGAACAATACTTTCAACTTTTAAGTGCATGCATAAATTAATAAATACCTCGTTAAAGAAAAAATCATTACTTTTCAATATACAAGATTCGAGTTTATTTAAGATAAATGGAAGCTTCTGTAATATTTTAGTTTTTAAATTAGCTTTGAACAAGGGATTCTCTTCCTTGAAATAGTTCCCGATCTCTATACAAATTAATAGCTATGTTAAAAATTACATAAAATCATCTAATGCTCTACCAAAATATTATAATTCATATGCATTAAGTGATTAGAGCGTGTATATAAAACACGATTAGACAGTTAAATATTTATTTTTTTTATATGTTCAGTCACCGATCGGCGCACACACGCAAACAACACACAGCCATAAGCTCATGCATAATGTGCTTATGCCCGCATGCACAAACGCATTATCTATACAATACGTGCAGCTATGTGCATTAGTGTGTGCGGATTAGTGCAAATGCTCGTATGTACAAAATTGCCTGCATCGTAGTTGCGTAAATGCAGTGCAATTTGGTCACATCGCATGCAAGTATGCAAACCCGTTTATTTATTTGCCTGACAACGATGTATTAAACGCTGAGTTGACAGATAAGAAAATTGCTATTTGGAAACGTAGGTGTAGTATTACCAATGCGTATATCGTCAATGTCATCGACCAAAGCATCAATTTTAAGCGATTCTTCTTCATTAGAGCCACAAAGTTTGAATTTTCTTCCAATATATCTACAAATAGATTTATGTTGATGATATCTTACACCATCAATTTCTAAAACCGGTACTTGCTCCATCGGCATTTCTACAATTTTGTAAATTAGCACTAAAATTATTGTTAAAACGAACGCTTATATTTTTATAAAACATTAATTATATGTTACCTTTCTTATATTTAACTTTCCACTCTTCAAAATCATTAAAACGTATATCGTCAAATTTAATACCACAATAATGTAATATATATCGAATCGGTTCGGCTAAACCAGTTACATTAAAATAATAGAGTTTGTAATTGGCCATGTTTTTTTTTTTTTTTTTTTTTTTTAAATATATGTATATTGCTTAACAAATATTCAGTTATATCGATAACATAAATATATTATAAATGTTTATTTTATAAATTATTATCAATTACTTTTAAGCAAAGTAGAGTAGTTAATCGAGGCAAAAAATTCCCTTAGTCAAACAAAGAGAATTATCCGATGTACTTATAATCTAAATGTAAAATGTGCTTCGATCATAGTTATAAATGAAGAGAAAGATGGTTAGTCGAGGGATTTCAAGTGAAATGAGTTGAAATAAATTTTGCCGCGATTAATCCAAAACTTATTTAGACTGTATGATTAAGGCCCCCGAAACGTAAATTGAAAACAAAAAGTAACGAGAAATTTTTTCCATGCGATTACGTCACATCTTTTTCATTGGGTCTTAATTTGCTAATATTTAGCATCACTTGGCATTTCAAATTATTTACATTTTTTTACAAACATATAAAACGAAAATTGAATTTTTCAAAAATATATATACAAAACATTAGGTAAAGAGTTGTAATATATGTAGTTTTCATAATATATATATATATATATATATATATATATATTTACATTATATGTAACATTTAATTAATGTAATGAGCAAATTATTGTCACTCTGAAAAATAATTTTACACATAAGAAATCCTAATGAATGTACTATTTATTAAATATAAGTGAAAGTAAAAATAATTAAAAATAAAAAAAAAAAAAGCCTACCATTTATGTTACTTACTATACTTTTTCCTTCGTTGCTTTTAATCCTCATCAATATAATCAATGAAATATTGCATAAAAATTAAAGATTAAACCACAACCATGTGAGAACATAATAATTATATGTCATTTTCTTATTAAAATTGATACCTGAAAAACAAGCGACGAGAATAAATCTTTAAAACGTATATTTTAATTTTTTTATTCTATTTTAATTGCTTTTGTTTTTATTTAATATTATAATAAAAAATATCAAAACAATTCTGCAATTGAAACATTTGCCTAACACTTTTATTGAATTAAAAAATATAAATCTTCAAAATTTTTTTTTTTTTAATTATTTAACATACATGTTTGATTAATTACATTTTTATAAATGTCATATTTAAACTAATAGCTTAAAAAAATAAAAAATAACAAATAAAAAAAAAAAAAGAAAATCTTTTGTGATTTTAAATATCTTTGAACGAATTTAGTTTTATATTATGAATTTGTCGTTAATTAACGTTAACAAAATTTTTAACTAATGAAAATTTACACATAATGTTTTACATGTGTATGATTAAGCAAAAATAAAACATGAAAATTCTTCTATACAATTTTATAGTAATTTTAAGAATAAATGAATAAAGTTACTGAGAAGCTACTCAATACAAAAAAAAAAAATTTTTTTCTGAAAAACTCAATTTTCTGTCAATCTATACAATCTATTATATTGTCACAATCGAATATAAATAGAAAATGATAAACGAAAAATAACATATAGTAAAATATATTTTTTCTGTTATAAATTTCAACGTTAACAAGCCAATATTAAAATAATGTATTAATTTCCACAATGAATTATAAAATGTAATTTAATTATGTACGTAAGTTGAGCATTGATTTCAGACCTTTTAAGATCAAGAAAATTTTATTATCAAGTTAGTTAATTGTGTAACGTTACTACCATTTAACCAATTTATAATTTTAAATTAAATCTTCATTTTTTATGAAACTATAAATCATACATCATATATCACATAAATCACGATAATATAATATTTTTGTTAATAAAAACTTCGAATTATTCGAAAATTAAAATGTATCCAGGCAATCTTCGAAATAAAAACGAATCCCAATTAGATAATGATTTAGATATAATCAATTTGAAATTATTCAATGAAAATTACATTGTACCAATAGATTATGAAATTAAAAACATCAACGAATATAGAAAACATTGCACTTGATAATTTAATCTGATGAAAATACACATCATTATGATTATTAAAACACGGTTATCCGACACATGAAAAATCAGCAACAAATAGCGGCAAATAACTGACACATTGTTAAAAATGTATTGTATTTATTGAAAATAGTATTCTTACTCTTAATTAAAAGTATGTGTTAGTAATGATTAACAGCAATAAGCGTTTGTAAATAACACTCGGAAAGTTGTCATTAATTATTGTTTATTAATACAAATTTTATAAACAAATAATACGAAAAGGAAAGTCGTTCAGAGACACCGACACATTTGTTACATATCCATTACAATTCTATACTCGATTAAATTTTTTGCATTTTGCAGGTTATGTATCATGTACGAACGAATCGTGTAGAAATTACTAGCTTTGCTATGCTTGATACATGCACCGTTCAAACAGTAAATTTTGGCCGTACAGTACCGATTGCGGCAAAGTAGCATTATTTTGTGAAATACCAATTTTAAATAAAGCGTATATATTTATTGATAAATAAAGGTGCTCTATTAAATAAATAATATTGGTGATTAGAGCACAACCTTATCGGTATAATAAATAATTAAGATCATTATATTGTATACTATTAAATGTAAATAAAACTTATCTATTATTATTATTTATTTAATTATAATTAATAACTATTATAAATAAATATTATTGTATCTGTAATTAAAAAGCAAGTGAAATGCAATGAATTTGAAAAGTAGCAGTACTTTGTTCAAGCATAACCTATATAAAAACACAAACAAACATTACTTATCACTAACAATGTTTACTAACGTAACACTTTTGTAAATTATAGATAGTAATTAGTAAAGATGGATTATCAAAATCGACCTGGTGGAAAAACTGGAGGAGGTGGTGTAGCCTCCTGGTCGGAAAGTAATAGAGACAGAAGAGAACGTCTTCGACAGCTTGCTTTGGAGACTATTGATCTGAATAAGGATCCATATTTTATGAAAAATCATTTGGGTTCCTACGAATGTAAATTATGTCTTACGCTGCACAATAACGAAGGAAGTTATCTTGCCCATACGCAAGGTAAAAAGCATCAAGCTAACTTAGCGAGAAGAGCTGCCAAAGAAGCGAAGGAAGCACCGCAGACTCTTGCTCCGGAAAAACCCAGAGTAGAACCAAAAAAATTTGTAAAAATTGGACGTCCCGGTTACAGAGTAACTAAACAAAGAGATCCGGAATCTGGTCAGCAAAGTTTGCTGTTTCAGGTAGATTATCCAGAAGTCGCTGATAATATTATTCCTAGACACAGATTTATGTCGGCTTATGAGCAGAGGGTAGAACCACCAGACCGTAAATGGCAATACTTGTTATTTGCAGCAGAACCATATGAAACAATAGCTTTTAAGGTGTGTAATATTTAATTCAATAGTTAGTATTTGCGTGAAAACAGTATGGTTTTTTTTCTCGTTTCCAAAATTAGTATTAAATTTGGTAAAATTTTTTATGTAAAGTAAGATAAATAACCTTCTTTACAGGTTCCAAGTAGAGAAGTTGAAAAGGCAGAAGGAAAATTTTGGACACACTGGAATAAAGATACAAAACAGTTTTTCCTACAATTTGCGTTTAAAAACGAGAAACCATCCATTGGAAAAGTGCCACCTCCACCAGTGCCACTTATTCGACCAGGATTAACACCTTCGATGATGCCAGTCCCTCCACCTCCCCCAAGACCGCCAATGTTCAATCCTGTACCACCACCACCTACTCTTTTAACGCCTGGTATGCCAATACCTCCACCTCCTCCTCATATGAGCTAGATATACTAAGTTTAATCTAAATTTGTAATTTAATTTTATAAGGGAAAGAAAAATCAATATAACAAAATTATAATGTTTTTGGTATTTTACTTTTATTAAAAATTGTACAGGATAATGTAATTGTATCTTGACAGCTTGAATTGGATAGTTTCCTGAAAGCAAGTAAAAGTATAATTAGATTTAAATCAAGTAAAATTGTGACGAAATAACATTATTAAAATAATCAGTACAGAAATAATCTACACAATTTTTAGCGCTGTTTAGGCTACTTTTAAGTCTGCTTATTTTGTACCATCGGAAATATTTTAAATGCTCCATTTTTCAAGAATATATACATTTTAATTACCTGAAAAGAAAAGAAAAAATATTAAACCATCGGACACTTTTTTGTAAAAAAAAAATAAATAAATGAGTAAGTAATTAATAATTGTATTCAGTAAAGAACATTCAACAGGGATAATGAGCTTTGTACATACTCATTCAGTCCGCCCGTTCATTGTCATCATTTTAGAACTTAACTTTTATTAAAACATTATCATACATTATATTTACCTAATAATTTATGCGCTCAATATACAAGCTCCACCGACTGCCTTAATTTTATCCACTGCCTGTTGACTGAAAAATTTAGCTTTAACAATAACTGGTTGTTTTGGTAATCTTCCTTTACCTAAGAGTTTATAATATCCCTGAAACATAATCATAAATATTAAGCATTCATTTACCAAAGAAATATATTTTATTGCTAATAAGATACAGTGCACTTTTAATTTAAAATTAACATAATCTATAATTGTGTTATAATAATTAAAGTTCTGTTAACGTATCAATATATGAATATATATGTGGCACAAGCAAATTAATTTTCATTTAATTGTATTACAGAATTTAATATGACAAAAAATTAATCGTAGCATACTTTTCAGCATCGCTTATTTGCATCTTCCTTTTAACTTCTATGCACGGTACATAATTTAATTTGAAAGCTTCAAATTTAAATTAAATCATATCAATAATTTTTTTTTTTTTTTAATACCTTCACACTATATACTTTCATACTTACAGCTCTAACAAGGTCAATAACCGGAACTTTGCTATCGGGTGTTGCATCCTTATATTTTAGCCTCGTCTGTTCTGAAACTAACGTCCAGAGTTTATCCAGATTGAGCGCTGGACACCATTTTGTATTTTTACGTAAATGGTAATTTCTCATACCAAGCTGTAAAATTAAATAAGATACAGTTATTATGTAAGAGATTGAAATATTTTATACTTTAATAATTTTAAGAAACATCTTCAGATAAATAGATTTTACAATCACCATATCTCAGTTCGCCAGTGAAATTATAAATTATATCATCATAAAATTTTACTATATTAATTACAAACGACTTTATTATCAATACCATTACGTGAAAATACTTAAACAATGAAACTATCTGCATAAATAAATGAATTATATTAGAATAGTAAAATTTTAAACCTTTCCAAAATATCCTGGATGGTATTTATCAAAGTTAATACGATGGTGGTGCATACCACCAGCATTACCACGTCCACCGGGGTGTTTTCTGTGCTTGCCTAAAAACACAAATTGATTATATTCATGGTGATTAATTAAAATGTAGTAATTATTTTGCTTTAATTACCGATTCGGCCATGCCCATGGCTCACATGTCCACGAAGCTTTCTGGTCTTCTTTTTGTGCGTAGACTATATGGAAACGGAAAACGAAGTGATCGAAATTAATATGAACGACTTCTATCTAATTTATGATCCAAAACACATATTTAATTACTGTACGACAATGAATTCAATATTTTAAAATATAAATATGAACGAATTAGTATTTTATAAAGGAAATATACATCAATTAATTGTAAACATAAATAAAACGTTTTATAGGTTACGTATAAACACATTTCTATTTATATTAAGTTTATCGAAAATTGAAAAATACTTTTAAAATATTCACTATATTAAACCGAACATTTATAATTATCGATTACAATCTTTTACGCTACAGAGATGGTGAAATATAAGTTGGATTTTCCGTAAAAATACTTCATACTTACCATTCTGTCTAACAGGCAATGCGATAAGAAAGTAAAAATGTATTAAAGATTCGAAACCAATTTCCTCATACTCGAGTCTGCGCGTAACAATTTCTATGAAATTGGTTCTTGTTCTCGCGCGAAATATGAATTATACGTTAGAGAGTATTGGTATATTGTATTAGGATTCTTATGGAAATTCTTAATTTTTTTTTCCAAAAATTCTAAGATAGAGATAGCAAAAATTTTTTTAATAGTTTATACTGTTTATTTTTTAATTTTTCTTGTTCTCATTAATTATGGAATTAAAACACAGAAAGATTTCTTTTTAATCCGCGTGAAGGTAGCTACAGCATTTTAAACAATAATTTTAAATTAAATTATATATAACATTAGAATAACAATTTACTCAATATTTTTTACAATAAACATTTATTTTATATCGACTCAAAATTTGATGAGTTGTCAAAATTTCAAATATTTTTCAAAAAAATTAATAGCCCCTCGTTTCAAATAATATTGATAAAATTTTGCCTTAATAATATATTTAAAGGAAAATTTTTATAATAGGCGCAATTGTTTATATTTTTATATTTTATTAGTAATTTTCAAATTTCGCGGGTCTTTAATTTCGCTTTTACCGTACGTGTTTCCATAAGTATTATTTTGTTTTGCTAAACTCATTTTTCAGAGTAAATAATCGGTTTAAATAAAAAAGCATAATATAATTACAATGAACAAAAAACTAATTGTTTTTTTCATAAATATTTTATCTGGGTGTTTAATAATTTCTTTTTTAACTATCGCCTGTTAGATTTGTAGCAAAATCAAAATTGTTACTATTTGTTGTATGAGAAGTCATTTTAAATAAAAAGGATCTTCGTAAGCACACAATTAAAGCCCCGTTGTCCTATTAATGATGAGGTGAAAATATTGAAGCAGGACGAATACGCGTACGCACACCAGTTCACTCGTCCTGCGCGCGCATATGCACATAGAGGCGCGTTTATTATGCGTTGGATTATTAGGATTGAAAGTACATCAAGTATTACAAAAGCGATTGGGTGCTTGCAAAGAGTCAATTAGAAGAGTACATTTTATACAACAATATAAATTTATAAATATACGATTATTGAATTATTTTATAATAAAAAACCACTTATTATTTATCATGCATTTAGATAATAATGATGACCGTTCAGCTGAAGTATTAGAAATTTCTGGTAATTTTTTAGCCTACAGGATTTTATTTATATATAATGATTTATTTGTCTTTATGCTTCGTATTATCCACATTTATAAATTTTGTTTAAAGAAAATAATTTGTTTAGTTCTGGCAAGAAGATCCGTTGACAAGAACAAAATGGAATTCTATTGGAGAAGAAACAAAAAAACTATTTATGAAAAAAATATGCTTTATGATTGATGATGAACAAATATAGGAAGCATTTTATTAAATATATATGATTATTCATAAGAACAATCTGAAATTTGTATAGAGAGCTTATAGATCCTATAATGGAAGAAGAACCAAAATCTAAAGTAATGTTAAGACAAGGAAGTTTTCATATTATATCTTTAGTTCTAAATTCAAGTTAACAAAAAATGTTCCTTACGAGTAAGGCTTAGTAATAGATAAACACAAGGTACTGTTTCAAATAATTTAGTATTTAAACATTTTTATTTACCGGTTATATTTAATAGATGTTGAATTAGAAGTAATAGATGGACGGAGTAATAGATAGTCAACTTACTTACATTTTAACATTAATTTTTCATATTCAAAATAAGGATAATTAAAAAATATTTCTATAAAATTGATTGAAGATGAAATCCCTTAGTAAGATTAAATAAATTAATTTATTTTAGCTTCGTTATTGTTGGAGAATATCATACAAATGTCTTTTTGATATGAAGAAAATTGTTGCTAATTGTATGAAAATTAATTTTTTATATTTCCAAGTGTTTAGTTTACATGTAAGATAAAAAAAATTATATACATTCGTTTTAAATGATATTGACAAGATTCCACATAGGAGTTAAAGTTGCTAATTAAAATATTAAATTATTATAAAATTAAAATAGTATTATACTGATAGGAAAATCAATTGAGAAGTATATTGTGGATAAGCTAATTAAAGATATAATAAAGACAGTTGTTGTAAAGTATTGAATAATAAGTTAATAGATTGCTCGATAATAAATGTAACTACTGTAATAAGTTTAGGTATACTCTGAGGATTCTGTATAAATTTATAGTTCGTGAAAAATATGTAAATATATTTTGCAGAGAAGAATGTAATGACACTTTTGAAAAATTGGTATTTGAAATAGTCAAATTGAATATAAACGTTTACCATTTGTTATATTACTGATTCTGTATGGAAAATTAATAGAAACTGATAATGAAAATGGCAGCTTTAAAGCAACTCAGCATTCCTTAATGAGTTTAGCATCTTTACAGCTACTGGGTTATATAATCAATTTTTCGCTGTGGAAAATATATTACATTTGTATTTCTTCGCTTTTCATATTTATTAATATTAAATGTAAATATTAAAATTATTAAATAGAAAAATAAATATAGATTTGTAATTTTTAATTGACATTAAATATTACAGGTTGAACATTTAAGATTAGGTGAAGTACCAGAAAATTAAAATTCATATATGAAAATTAAGATTCATAAAATTAGCGAAGAGAAAATAAGTTTATATTTATTTAATAACAGAATTAATGATGTTGGCTAAGCAATAACAAATTAAAATTCTCTTTTTCATTTTTCATTTCAAAACCAGTAAGTTTATAAAATATTGGATTGTTTTATACTAAGTCAATATAGAATAGTGAAAAGATATATGCATGTTATTTTTAATAAAATTAATTGATTATTGTTACAGGTAGAATAAAATATAATTTGAATGCATCGGGTAATGATATATTGAAAGTATTTGGCAAACTGAAATGAACTATATAAATAAATTAATTACCCGTTGGAGTGTAAAGTTGAATCTATTGTTGAAGATAGAATTAAGAACTGCTCGCCTAAAGTCTTAAAGAATGACAAATTAATTCTTTCAGCGTTGAATTCAGAAGATATAGATGATTGTGATCAAGAAGATTGAGAAATTAAAGGGGTTCGCGATGTTATATAAGCAGATAATAATTAATATTTTTTCAGATATGCTGGAAAAATTATTTTCGATAACTATGATATCAATATGATTATAAACTTTGGAGTTTATATAAATTATATTATAATCTTTTTAATAAATATATTGATACGGTAGAATAAATTAAATAAAAAATTATGCTATTAATGTTCGTTATACCAAGAGGGACTTTCATTTGAAATTTTCCTTTATTAATGAATATAATATAACTAAAATTTCTCTTCATATAGCAGTAAATATTTTTGTAAAAAAATGCAATCGTTATCATTTTTTTTTTAACATTTATTGTTATAATAAATAAATTTTTCATAAGTAAAATTGATTTCATTAACTTTAAAATTAACTCTTCAAAATGTTTAATAATGGTTAATAAAATAAATAATTCCTAGACCTTTAATTAATTATGAATTTGGTCTTTAAAATAAAAAATCCATATACCATCAATATTCAATACATTAAATAAGTTTAAAAACTATAAATTATAAATAAATTATTTTTAAATAGAAATAAAAGAAACTTTTGGAATAATCGAAATATAAATATCCTTAGCATTTGAAATTTTATTTTTACGTCGTAAATGTAAAAAATTAGCATACATCGGATACGATTAATATATTTTTTTTTAGTTAATAGAAGATAATTACAAAAATAACATTTTAGTATATTTGCTCGATAGATTTACATAAATTCAGAGACATTTCGGGAAAAAAGTCTTTGTAATTTGTAAAAAATATATTTTCAATATTTTCATAAGGAATATTGTATAGATTTAAAATATTCGAAATTTATAAACTTTTACAGTATTCATGTATAGAATTTGAAAAAATAAGGTTTTAATTAATTTAGTTGAATATATACTCTTATTAATATTATGAAAAAGTATAAATGTATATGTATAGTATATATTTCTTTTAAATAAGAGAGAGATCAATATAAATGATTTTCAAGTAAGTCATAAAAACTTGTTGTGTTTTGTAAAAACTAATGTGAATTAAAAATTACTAAAAAAACTAAGCAAAAGATTATTGAATGACGAATATGTATATTATCAATATATTATGTTAATGACATTATTTTAAAAACTAATTGGCAACGATTTAATAATCTATTTATATATTAGAACGAAAGCTCTTATTTACACTTAAGAATTCTTAATTTTTTGTATTAATTAGAATGATGAATAATGATAAGTTAGCTTTGAATATTTTATCATTAGTGTTTTACTAAGACTCGGAGGAAATTTTTTTAATAACGGTAACGTTATTATTTTATAATTATAAATACTATCTTGAGTGTAAAGACTCGATTCACAAAAGAAACAAAAAATTTAAAAGTATCCATAAAATAGCGCTACTGAACATATTATTAATATTACATCTCAAATTGACAAATAATATACTAACATTTTAATCAAACTTGTGTTTTATAAGTGATTTTACAATAATCATAAGAATTTTTTCTTATTATTTGTGAGTAATGATCATTTTTCATAAAAATAAATGAGCTTTGTACAAATTGAATAAAATATTACTTAGCAAAACTAATATGAATGTTATGTTTTTATAGCCATAGACAAAAAATTAATTGTATAAAGATTTTCTTTGGAAATAAAGATACTAAAAATAAATATACTGCTATTAAGATTTACAATGCTTAAATAATTATGTAATTATAAATGTGTACGATTTTTTTTAACCAAATAGATTTATAATTGTCATTTTTTTATTTCACCGTATTCTTATTAGTTACTAATTGAATAAAAAAATGTCTCTTATAATATTAAAATAATTACGGTTTTCTTAATTCAATATCTTATAGAAATTAATGTCTTTTAAAGTTATGTTAAACTAAAAACGTTATATTATTATTCAATATCATTGTT